TATGTGTGAGATGATATGGAAGTAAAGGCTAACTGTCTAGGGGAACAAATATGCTCCAAACATATTACATGTGCCATGAAAATGGCCTTATATAACCCAGTATACTAAGACAAAAATCTAACAGTAACAATAACTATAATTAATAAAGCTACCAATTGCATGCTATATGACTTTCATTACAAGTTTAAAGTCAATGGCAAAAGAAACTAGGGGCCTTTTTAGAAACCCCCAAAGCCACAGGAGATACAGTCTGCTAGATGAGACACGAGCGTCTTTGGGGGCACCCTGCAGGCTGCCTCCTCAGACCACTCAGGCTTCACCCCAGCTAAAGAACAAGGCACACGAAATGCTTCACTGGCTCAGTGAGATGCAGGAAGCATGGCTGTAGAGCAGCAGTCACTACCAGCCCTGGCCTACAGGGGTGGAAAATGAGAGCAAGAAGCAACCTGCCCTTCCAGTCAGAGCAGGGTCAGAACCCGGGCTCCCGCTCTGGGTCTGTCTCCAGACCATCACTGTGCTGTGTAGAAAAACATACATACATAAACATATAGAGCCGCAAAGCATGGTTTAAATTTATAGATATGTAAATGCATTCACTTGGCATAAAATGCACTTTCTAATTAAACCATCCTCTGTAATGACCATGCACAGAATCAGCCCCAGTCTCTTCAAACAGCAGGGCAGGATGCCACACTCGGGTGGTCTTAACTCTTGCCTGGGGGAGGGCGGGTGGACATAGGCACCCACACCCAGAGCTGTGCAGGCCAAAAGCTAAGCTATCAACAACAGATTTGACTGGGCCCCAAGGCACATGGTTTTGCATGTGGATGTGGTGCTTGCTGCTATATCAGGACTGTGCACCAACATCTTGGTTTCCTCTGTTTGTGAGTCTGCTTTCTCTGCCTTGTCAAGAACAAACATAGCTTTCATTGTCCAATTTTCACACACACACACACACACACACACACACACACACACACACAAATCATATAATGAGACCAAACCAAAGTATAATTTCTTACAAGACATGTGAGGTGTATGGACAGTAAGTGGGCCTATGATGTCACAGCACCAGACAGAAACATGTGATCAGTACAAGGAAAGAGGACTTTGATGAAGTCAAGAGAGCAAATGTCTGTGTATACATGCATGGGTGAAAGGGAAGATACCCATCTTGGGATTTGGGAAATAAGGAAAGATAGTATTTTCTATAAATCAATACTCTATTGATCAAAGACCTCACTCCAAGCCACTAACATTGGCAAGTAAAAGCAAACTGGAAAGGAAGGACCTTGTGTGAGGAGCTACCAGAAGTTTTAAGAGGATATTTAAAATGTTAACATTGATTTTAGGTGGTTGTTTTAAAGTATTTTAACATATTTCATGGTTGAAATGTGGTTGTTTTTAAAACTAATTTTAAAACAACAATGTTGAGTTAATTAACAAAGTTGGGCAACTGAACAAGACCTGCCTCTCCCTGGAATATGGGCTGCATAAAAGCATCTACTTTGTTGAGAGAGACATGTTGCGACAACTTTGGGAGCTTTGGGTGAATTCTTAGAATCCAAACATGTAACTTCACACGGAGAGCCTTGAGACCCTTGAAGTTTTGAGTGTGCCTGGTGAACATCTTCTGAAATAAGTCCTTGAGGACCCAGACTTGTAGGCTATCAGACAGAACCTCTGGCGTTGGGGTCTGTGAGACTTGGTGGGTCCTCCCAGGTCTGATGCAGGAGACTCAGCCAGCAACCATGAAGGAGACTCACTGCAGCTGTGTCCTCATCAGCGAAGAGAATGGGATGCACGTTATTCAAGGCATGTAGCAAAGAACCCTAAGATTTGCCTGTAGGCTGTCATTGGCTGAAATTTAAATGGATGATAACCAAGTGAAGTTAACCTTGTGCTCTGGACTTTATTTCCCAAGTTCCCCCTGTGTTGTTTTCCACGTGGTAGGATAGAGTTAGAGTGTCTTCAGAACTGGGTGCTACACTATGTCACCTACACTTGGACTCGCTCAGACCCGTGTATGCATGTATTCAGTGAGGAGGTGCGTGGAGAAGATCTTGAGCCACACAGCTGGGGTTCAGCTGGAAGCTGAGCGTACCCTGCAATAAAGCAATACTCTTGGACTTACAGCGAGGCTGCATCTGATCCCTGCTGTAAGCTGAAAAGGTGATTTATCACACCTGGCACCCCTAAACCTCTCAGCTTCACCCAGCCTACCTTAGGCTCACTCAGAGCACGAGCATTTGTCCACAGAGGGAGACATCGTCTAACCCAAAGTCCATCTTACAGCATGCCCCAGAGCTCGTGTGAGGATTTGGCTCCTATAATGAGAAGTTTACGGCTCCTATTGCTACACCATTGTGAGGATGGGAACCCTAAGTCAAGCCATTGTAAATCAGGGATTGTTTATATTCTAAAGAATGTGCCTGGTAAATTTAGAGCCCACTCTGGATTCCTGGAATCACAGCAACTGTGCCTCCACACACAACGCAGCAGCTGACGGCAACTGTGGTTCTCAGCGTTCCCAGACTCCCCCTCTCCCCACACAGAGCTCCTAGCCTTTCTGTGGAATCTTAATGAGGCAAACTGGGATGTTGTGACCACAGTGAAAACTGATGCTGTGTGTCACAAAGACCAGACATCTTTGTCTTAATTAGACATCAGACTATAAGAGGTGTTGCCGAACTGCCTCTCAAGGCTGAGAACAGGAAGCCTTCTTCTCTCCCTAAAAATTTCCATAGCTCCGAGCTGTGCTGGAAGAACCATGCTGTACCAGAGCTGGAGGAAGAGAAATCGCCTGGTGCATCTCCAGACATGTGGGGAATCAGTGGTTATCAAACAGAAGCCATCTTCAACAACGGAAGATGAGTAACATCTGCCAGTAACAGCAGCAGGCGTGAGTCGCCGGTTCTGGCCACACATACCACTCAGCTGCCCAAACATGCAGCCACACCTCTTGAAAGAGAGGCAGTGACAAGCACGCCTCTGCTTCCCAAGGAGATGCCCATGCTCCAGTTTCTGAAATAATTGTCTGGACAAAAGTATTTGTGGAAGAAGACTGGGAAACATCCTTAGTACTTTCTCACGTGTTTAATGAGAGGATCACAAGGTTAGCGTGCATCTAGCTGCTACTGTGCAGAAGCAGTAGGAAGTCTGAGGGGATGGTGGGAGCGGCCGTCACTGGCCTGTCTGTGCAAGTCTGCAGGGCATAACAAGCAACTCGGGGAGGAGCAGAGAACTTGTCAGATGGAATTGTCAGATGGAATGTCGTGTGGATGCAGGTGGAGGCACACAACACTCTGGTCATGACAGAGACAGGGTCCAATAGAACCCAGTGAGCGCCCATTGACCTCTTACCAACACTATGTAGCGTTCCCTCTGGTCCAGGTGGGCTAGGAACAAGAGCTCAGTGTCACATTGTCAAACTAGGCCACAATGTCAAGAAGAGATTTAAAAAAAAACTGTCACCATATAATTGTACATCAAGACCAACAGCCGCCGTAAACTCTAGGAAGAAGCATCCACGACACTTGGGACCAAGAAGCAGGTCTGGGAAGCTTTCCGAAGCAAGTGAAATAAAGTTTAGGCACAAATGACTAGCACTAACTAGAGGCTGGAAGCGCGTGTCTGTCCTCTGTTCTGTGTATGTGAATTGGGGCCACAAGAAAAGAAGTATTTCCAGGCAGAATGGGGTTTAAACTGGTCAGAGGGTGAGGCCCTGCCACAAAGTGTGGTAGAAGGAAGGAGTCAGGGTAAAGGAGTAAGGCTGAGAAAATAGGTCTCTCAGAGCCTGTGTCCTGTGGGAGACCAGGAATTTACAGTAATAGGAAAAAACCCTCCGTGAGTTAAGCAGAAGAAAGGGCGGTGGCAAGCAGGAAGCTTCTCCTCAGACATTCCCTCCGGCGACTCGTACTCACTAATGTGGAATCTGAAGATAGGCATTGAGATAAGTCATGATTGATCACAATTATAGCAAGCATCGTAACTGTCACTTTCTCTTTCATAACTTTCCTCACAAGCCTTCCAAGAAAACCCTGAAGTTGGTATCTTCCCACCCCAGAGCAAGCTGGAGACAGATGAGGTACATTGGATCAGGTCACACTCTTCCCGAGGCTCAGGACCACAGTGGGCATCCTGGATGCAGGCTACCTCCTCCTCGAGGCCTTGATGCTGTCTGAGCCAGAGCAGAGTAACTTCATGTGTCCTGAGGTACTGCCTGTGATCTCTGCTGAGCTCATTCCCATGTCCAGATGCTACCCCTAACACTTTCTACACAGGCTCTCATAGCGTAGAGCAGTGGTTTCCAACCTTCCTAACGCTGTGACCCTTTAATACAGTTCCTCATGTCACGGTGACCCTCTAGCCATGAAATTACTTTTGTTGCTACTGTATTTTGCTACTGTTCTGAATCATAATGTAACTATCTGTTGAGAACCACTGGTATAGAGAGAGAATCCCGAGCTTGAGCTCTTTGATGCGCCCCCTTGGCCTCCCAGTTTTGGGGGTGACAGGTGTGGCTGCTGTACCAATTGATGCCCACTGTAAACAATCACTGTCACAGAACAGTCACAGTGATGTTGGGCCTGACAGTGATGCCAGCAGGAAATGCTATCCTGACTCCAACCATGGCGGAAAGGGGGGGGGGGGTACTGTAAAGCAAGCACCTGAAGCCAGAGCCCTGAGGCAGGAGCTTTGGGTTCAGTATTCTGAGGTCTCCTGACTGCTCCAACCTGGGAGGCACTGAGCTGGGTCCAGGCCACCCACCCTGTATTTGGCCAGGAAGCAGCCCCAGGTGCTCACGGGAAGCTTGTTGCAAACAGGCGGAATTCCAGGTTCAGAAGTGCCTGTCTCCCGTACTCCTGGTGCAGCCTGCGCTTTGGAGAATGACTAGCATCCTTGAAGGCCTATGTGTCCTTGCCTCTCTCCCTTGGGTGGTGGGTATGGGAACCTTGATTTGTTGCGTTAGCTTGAGTTGCATGGAGACTGTAGGCAGCTTAAGAAAGAAGACATTTATTAAATCTAGCATAGAAAATATTTAAACAAAAAATAGCAGTATTTTAAATGAAAGTCATAAGAAGGCATATATTTTATGAGCTCAATTTGGTTGCCATTCATATAATGAATTCTTGCTTGGCCCTTATTAGCATGGTTAGCCATGCGCCAGCTTCCTCGTCAGCATTCAGAATATCTCATGAGGTAGACCTGCTTCCCTGGGGGCTTGCAGAGACCCAGCTGGGAAATACGACGTCAGGAAGCCTTCATTAGAGTATTCATACCAAGAAAGGCTGGGAAAACCGCCAAAGGTCTAAAGCACTTGGTCTAAAAAGGCATACAGATTATTGGGAAATAAGAGTTGTTTATTTAACCAATGATAACTAAAAAATTCAAAGCAAAAGACAGATAAAGGCAAAAACTCCCTAGCTCTTCAAGATTAAATTTTTCCAAGCGAGCAAACACATAAGTGTGTGTGTGTGTGTGTGTGTGTGTGTGCATCTCTGAATGTGTGTCTATGTTTCTGTGTCACTGTGTGTTTTATGTGTCTGTGTGTGAGTTTGTATGTTTGAATATGTGCCTTTTGTAGGTTTGTGTATGTGTCTCTATGTCTATATTTTTCTGTGTATGAGTCTGTATGCATCTGTAAGTATGTATTTGCATGTGTGTCTGCATGTGTTCCTGTGTGAGTCTGTGTGTTTGCCATAGATACATATGTCATGTATGTACATAACAACATATCAGAGATCATCTTGATAAATTACAAAATCTTTGTTTTCTACACCTTGCCAGAGGTTCAGGCAAGTTCCTAGGGCATGATTCTTTTGAGAGCCCCTGTGGGATGACCAGGAAAGAGGCCTGACCCCACCAACATACCAATAAGGTGCGGCTGAGGCAAGAAGTGTGCACCATGTTAAAGACGGTGGTAGAGCAGACACCAGGATCTCAGAAGTAGTCAGATCATGAGAACTATGAAAGAACCGGCATGCGGAGGGCAGAGATGAAGACCTAGGCTATCAGAGACCAGTCATCTTTTCAACCTCAGGCTGCCAGGGCAGTCAGAGCAGGGAAGGGAAAGCTTCCCAACACTGAAGAGAGAAGAAGATTGCGAATTAACTGGAAACCGTGATACAGAAATGCTGCTTCAGAAAATGATTCAACTGAAAAAAGTCAGATTTCATTTCACTCCCAAAGTTCCCTTTTGTGCCCTATAAACCCCAACCCCGTGTGCCATGGCGCAGTCTCCGCTGAGGGAGAGAGGCTGCTGCTCTGCAGTTTTCCTGATTAAAGGGCTCTCTGTTTCTGAAAACAAAACAAAACAAAACAGATTTCAGGATTAAAAAGAAAAAACATACTCTTCCAAATTTTTACTAACTCTAGATAGATATCTCAAGCAAATATTATTAAATAAATAGAATTAGTTTTTGTTTTTTTGTTTTTTGGTTTTTTTTTTTTTTTTTTTGGTTTTTCGAGACAGGGTTTCTCTGTGGCTTTGGAGCCCGTCCTGGCACTAGCTCTGTAGACCAGGCTGGTCTCGAACTCACAGAGATCCACCTGCCTCTGCCTCCCGAATGCTGGGATTAAAGGTGTGCGCCACCACCGCCCGGCATTAGAATTAGTTTCTGATTCTATGTAAGTATGTCAGTTATTTCACTTTTGGAAGAATCTGTAGATATTTTTTTCTATTTATGGCCAAATTGATCAGATCTCTTAAGATCTGCCCTTCCTGACACTCTACTCTTGGCCTAGTTAACTTTAGTAGTTCCCTGTGTCTCTTTTCTCTCATTTTCTCTCGTTATGGAAACCCAGGCAGTCATCCTATTTGAGAACCAGTTCTGCCACACAGAATCCTCTCTGCACAGAAACATTCCTTCTCCTTTTAGTTTTCCGTAATGAAATACAGCATTCCACTTTCAGCTTTATACCTCCCTGCAGGACCTACCGATTTCTGCCTGCCTTGAGTTCGCTCCCCTTCTTAAATTTAGACTTGTAAAAATCAATCCTTTAAAATTCTGAATTAGACAAAATTCTGTTTTTATCATAGAAAATTTTTATGTCTTCATTATACTGCCTCCCATAAATGCACATAAAAATTTTGTTCTTGTTTTTAGACACAGAGTTGCATGTATCATTAGAATTTAAGTTTCTAAATTGCAAGTCAGGGAAGAAAAATCTTGAATTGTTTGCTACAGACCAACACATTTTAAAATATTTTTTGAAAGTATAATATAATTAAATTATTTTTCTCTTCCTTTTCCTCCTCCCAGCCTTTCCCATAGATCTCATCTTGCTCATGCTCAAATTCATAGCCTCTCTTCCTCTCACTGCTGTCATTCAGAAATACGTGTGTTATATATGGTAATATATAGGGAATTCCTGCATATCCAAATACAATGGGCTCAGTCCATACGCTGATGTTTTGTATGTCTATGGTCTCAGGATTGACCCCATGGTATTGAGTAGTCTAAGGAATCTTCCCTGGGGAAGAGTATTTCTCCTGCTCTTAGCATCCCCATTGCCTATAGTTCATCTAGAAGACTTTACCTGTAGAAGGTAGACTCTCTCAAAGATGGTAACAGCCATCCTACTTGTTTTAACTTGATGCTCCATTTGTGTTTTCCTCTTGGGGGAGTTTTCAGGATAAATGAAAAAAAGAAAAGAAAATACGTATACATATATATATATATATATATATATATATATATGCTACAACCAAACCAAAATAAAAATTCCCATGAAAATTTCCAAATAGGCATTCACATCAAGCAGTATTAAACCTACATACCCAGAGAATAACATTTCAGAAGAGAGTTGATGTCTTCACAAAGTATAAGTTCTCGGGAAATTGGAGAGTCCAGAGGATGATTCCTTAGACCCTGAAAGGTTCGCAAAGACAAGTCTTGAATAGATCCACAAAAGGATTAAAAAGTCTTTTATCTAAGGTAACCTTATACAAATCAAACATCAAATGAAGTCTACAAGGCTATCACACACACACACACACACACACACACACACACACACGGACAATCCAACTGAGAAGATTCTCCAGGACAGGAAGGTCTAGACACGGAAACTGAGGGTGCAAAGGGCACCAAGCATGGTGTCACAGTTCTCCCAGGGCTGCTCAGACCCCACTTCTGACACTAGTATAGAGGAGAGAGAGAGAGAGAGAGAGAGAGAGAGAGAGAGAGAGAGAGAGAGAGAGAGAGAGAGAGAGAGAGGAAAGGGATTGGAAGTATTTTAAAGTATTTCTGAAAAGTTGTGTGGTAATGGAGTCTTTGTAAAATGTTATTGTCAGATGTGCACATGCGAGACCTCAACGTTCCCCTCTGTTTATTCATGAATGTACTTATTTGTTTGGTTAGGACCAGACAAACCCAGCTCCCCCCACCTTTATTTTGAATTTTGGCAAGGTTCACAATTTCCACATGCTGTGTGGAGTTGTCTAGGTTGTACTTTTGTGTGACTGGCAGCCCAGCAACATCACAAACAGGTAACATGCTGCCCTGTGACAGTCTAATGGCTACATACAAAGTGACAAGATAGTTTTTGGCTTCACATCACCATCTGATACCGTTCTCTGCACAGTGCCCAGATTACTAGGGTGGAGGACTACGCATCCTGAGGTCAACTTTTCAAACTTGCCGTTCCTTTTTTTCTCTACTCTATACCCTTGGCCTCTGCGCAATTCTAATCCTAATGCATACAACTAGGGCAAAAATAATCCCCACAAAACGCATGTGCTACCAGGTGAGTAGCTTGGAAGGGTAAGTGGACTGTGTGTTTCACTTGCTAATATAGAAACACTGCTAGTTAAAAGTAGTTAAGTTACATTTTCCTAAGCCCTTTATTCATGAGCCTAGGCATTCTTGGACATCAGTGAAAAGATTTGGGTTGAAAATATTTCCTCTTTGACTTAGCCATTTATGTCAATGTGGTCCTAAGGTTAAGTAGTTCACTCATAAGTGAGTCACCTCTGGACGATCAAGAGGAAGATGTGGCCGGGCGTTAACACTCAGCTCATTTTCATAATCAATTTTTAATTCTTTATTCTTAAACACATTTGGAGTTCCACAAATCTTGCTTGCACAGGACCCTGCCCAGGTTCACACAGCCCCCCAGGCAGGACAGGTGTACCCACACTCTACCCACTTAGTCATCTCTTCAGAGGCCAGCCTCAGCCTGCTGTCTTCAAATTCTCAGTGTGCTGCTTCTTTAGACTCCTCTAGGGCTTCGCTTCTGCCCGGTTCTCTCTTACCTTCTCCTTATTGTCTCTGTTCCCAATTCAGGTGAACCCCAAGCACTGATACAGCCCACTGATAACCCAGAGTTGTTACCCAGTAGTGGGTGATGTGGTATCCTGAGACTGGAGATCTTTACTGGTAGTATTCTTAAATTCCAGCCCTGCTCTTCCCCTTCAGGTGTGGGCTGCTCCCAGGAGGGTCCTTTCACCCGCCAGCTGGGCAGTGATGTATTTACACATTTAAAGAAAATACAAAGGCCCAGATCTACACTTATATTTCTTCACAACACAGTGATTCCATCTGCCCCGGGTTATATCCCAGCTTTTATCTGTGGTGCAGAAGGAAATGATCCTCGGAGTGCCCCAGCCGGTATGACAAACTATATGGTCACCACCCTTGTACACCACAATTATATGCACACGGCTAACTCTTGATAAAAACAGAAACACCTATAATCATATTAATCATCATCATCATGAACATAGAGGACATCTTTAAAATAACTTTATTTTCATTAAACATCATTTATTAAAACACAGGAGTATAGGCATGTTTAAGAAACCACTGTGGTAGAATAAAGAAATGTAGTGATTCTGGTTCCTTGGGAGGAAGAATTAAAGTTCATGGGTACAGGGACATTTGGACCCTCCTGTAAGAGACCATAATTATAGTCTCTTAAGTAACAGCCCAAAGAGCCAGAGTTTCAACTGTGACACAGAGGGAAAGAATGGGATTTTTTTCTACGTTTGCCCTTTAACTAAGAAGCAAAACTTCTCTCTAAGCATTTAGGGAAATAAGAGACAGCCGCAGGAAATTACAACCGTAGAATCAGCTCATGAGATTACAGGCTGCCCTCAGCGGCCAGGCTGCCCGGGGAAGTCTCTTGTTATTAAACATGGATTGCCGCAAAGATATAAACTGCGGATCATGTGTTGGAAAGGACCCCTGGCTCCTCCCTGCACTTATCACAGACTGGCCAGGGGTGCATGAGCTCACGCAGCAGGCAGCTGCCCATTTGCCTTTCGACCACAGGGCTGCGGTGTTGCTTTGCCCATAATGACTTCCCCAGAATGAGAGAAGGTATTTGAGCACACGCATGCACACAGTTGTCAAATACTTAGATGCCTTTTACCCACAAATATAGCCTTCTTCTTCGTAATTTGATTGTGCAATTAAACTGAGTGGCCTCTTTAATGACAGTTGGGTCTCGTCAAGGCCCGTGTGAGCAGGAGCCACAGGGCCATGTACGGAAATAGGAACTATCTCTGCAGTATCCGGCCTGTGTCTCTGACTGTGAGACAGTTAAACTGTCCTGAACTTGAGGGTCTGTCTTAAATGCAGACAGAAGCATAAAGGTTTTACTGAAACATCAGCACCACCCTGGTTCTGACCAGATGTCGGGGTCTAGCGTTGATGGAGTTCACACATTCCAGGGTAGGGGCGGGTGGATTAGAAACATTAGGCAGAAGGAACGGAGAAATAAAAGAAAATCAGAGGTGCACAATAGAGTCAGGAGGGAAATCTGGTGACTACTGAGTTCACCCACATTTATTTTCCATATGCTTATATACCCCACTCCAAAAAGGAGGGAAGAAGGCAAAAGACTAGTGTTTTTATTGATTTTTTTTATTGAGCTCTACATTTTTCTCTGCTTCCCTCCCTGCCTCACCCCTCCCCTTCAACTCTCTCCCAAGGTCCCTTAGCTCCCAAGGTACTCAGGAGATCTTAGCAAAAGAGTAATTTAACACGAAACAAAGAATAAATGGAGCAATTGCCTCTTAATATCTAAAGCCTCAAGCAACTATACCCTGAGTTTAGTATTCTAAGTACTCTAGTGTTTGGGCAGGAGGGGCAGAGACCACACCTTAGGCCAAGCACCCTGTAGGCAATCACTTCCAGGGTCAATCCTACTGTCCTATCATTGAAGAAGCGGGAATAGGCCTGAACTCTCTGACCTTTGGCCAACGTGTAATAGATCCACCTCTGTGGGCCATCTTAATACCCGAAACACCAAGACACCACACCCTAGGCCAGGACGTCTTGTTAGCAGCCACACCTTAAGTGAATAAACTTGAAAGAGTAAGAATCAGCCTGAACTCTCTGACCTCTAGTCAAGGTGGAATGGACCCACTTCTGTGGGTTCCCACACCAAACCAGTGCTGTGCTTCCTAACTTGAGGGGCGGAGTGAGGAAATGACCAAGCGTCTGTGTCAGGTGAGAAACAAAGACAGAAAGCAGAATCCAGAAGGGAGGCTGACGCAGTGAGCACCAGCACCGAGTCCCTCGTGCACTGAAGCGGCCACAGAGGATAAACCACCGCACCCTGACTGGAGGGCAGGGGAGTGGGCCCTGCACAGGTAAATACACAGGGTGATGCCACAGACCCGAGAGAGCCCTCTGCCTCCTTCAACCCATATCACTGCATACTCTGCTAGTCCTGTCCACAAGAGACCGAGGCAACACCCACAGTCTCCAGGCAGCTTGGAGAGTGGCCTGGAGTTCATGGACCTGTGTTCCCAGACAGGGATTCATGTTATAGACTCTCTAACCTATGTGTGACTCAAGCTGCCCTCTTAAAACTGATTTGTGGTTAGAGCATAGCCCCCCTAGGTCCAGCAGTCACAGTGAATTTCCACTCTTAGGATAACAACATATTCACGTGAGAGCTCAGAGCCCAGCCAATTACAAAAGCCACCTCCAAGGACTAATGGGTCACAAAACCCAGTTAGTCCCCCAGGGAACCGGCAGACAGACTTAGAGAGAGAGTGCCTTGATGTGTTCACACACATCTGCACCCTACCTAACAGCTGGGTGGCAGCTTTGCCTCCCTCTGATGTAGGATATCCTTCTGTATATGTGTTGCTTTTATTGGATAATGAATAAAACTGCCCTGGCCAATGGCTTAGCAAAGTAAAGCAAGGTAGAAAATTTGAACAGAGATATAGAGAGAGTAGGCAGAGTCAGGGAGATTCCATGTAGCTGCCAAAGGAGGCAGACACCATGTAGCTGCCCGAGAAACAAGAGGTAGCAATCCATGAGCCTTGTGGTAAATGCAAAATAATAGAAAAGGGTTAATTAAAGATATAAGAGCTAGCTAAAAATAGACCTAATTTGGCCAAATGGTGTTGTAATTAATATAGTTTCTGTGTGATTATGCAGGTCTGGGCAGTCAGGAAACAAGCAAGCAGTCTCTGGTTAAACTCCACAGCTGACCAGTACACAGCTTCTGACCATCACACAAAACAGCCCAAGCCAGCCAGGAGGCAGCCTTGTCCCTGTAGTGAATGAGCCTGCTGCACATCTGGCCAGTCCGCAGTACACAGTGTGCCTGTGTCGAGACCTCTAGACCCTGGATGACAGCCCCAACCACTGGTCTGAGCCATGAGCTGTGTAGTCAAATCCTAAGGCTCTTGGACAAATGCAAACATCGCCAACATCTGCCTCAAAAAACAATAATAGATTTCAAATAGCATAATAATGCAACTCAAATAACTAAAATAAAAGAACAAATGAAACCTAATATTTTATAAATAATAAAGATCAGAGCAGAATTAAACAAAATTGAGACTAAAGGACTATACAAAAGAATGTGAATCAAAAATTTATTGTTTGAAAGCACAAAATCACCA